AAAGAGAACGTAGAATCCGTCATTTAATGGACGAAATGGAAGGAATGACGAAATTTGCTACACAATAGAAAGTTTGGATATGAACTTTACTAAAAAGAATTAAGATTAAATTTCGCGAAGATTGAAGATGAAGAAGTTCAAACTTCCCTCTAAATTTATTTTGCTATCCTTGGTTCTGAAATTGCATCAACACAATACTGGGTGGTATGTTCTTGTTTTTAACCCCATTTCTCAATGCAAGTTCTACCTTGGAAACATTTTTCTCTATCCCAATACCGCAACTGAAATGCACTGCGCAAAGTAATATATATTTTAACAAGTTTATTTTGATTTGTTTTCGTGTATAATTTAAAATCCACACTCAATTATTATTATTACATTGCCTAATATTTTATAATCTGGTCTATTTTCTTGTACAGTTTAACTAAAATTGGTTATTGAAACTTCAATGATTTTTTTAATCATTATTAGAATTGCTTGTTTAAATATTATTAAGTTATATATATATATATATTTTTTAAAATGAAAGTTCCATCTTTGAATAACGGATTGATCGTTTATATTGAGAAGGATATATTCAAAAAAAAATCGATAATGATTTAAATTATATATCGTTTTCAAAGTAAGAAACTTCGTAGGAACGATTGTAGCAGTGTATCAACAAAAATAATAGATTTATCATATTTTTAAAGAGAACATACGTTATTTTTAATAAATTGGTAAACAATAATAATATTTACTAAGTAAAGCATAAAAAAATAAAAGAAAAAAATAAAATAAATAAAAAAGAAAAAGAAAAAATAAATAGGGCGATAAATGGGGCTGGTATCCCACCCCGAACCCGTCCCGTCCCGTCCTACTTTAAACGAATATGGGGATGGAATAAGGTAACAAAAATAACCGACTGGACGGGAGTAAGAATGATCGACCTGTCTCATATCTACCACGTTGTCATCCCTACACAACATAGAGAGAAATAGGGCAGCACAAAAAAATCGCGAAACCGCAAACCGAATCGAAACCGTTAGTTCAAGTCTACGTGGACCAACGATTTATTTTCCCTCAAACCAAACCAAACTATTTCAAAATGATTTGGTTTAAGTTTCAATTTTCAAAAATCGCATATCGAACTGAACCGTTTTTTAATTAAAAAAATTAATTTTGTTAACTTACAAATTTTAAAGTTTTCACTTTTTAGGAAAAAAAAATACCAATTTAGTAATACAAATTACAATCAACCCATTGAAATAATCATATAAAGTAAATTAAGTTCATTATTGTTGGCCGATGATTTTATAAGTTCACAACACACGTCCTTACCAGTTATCTAATCTAAATTAAAATTAATTTCAAATCATATGAAAAAAAAAGCATTTATTTTCAATAATCCAAATCATAATTCAACAAAACTACGATAGCAGACTACACCCACAACTTCAGAAATCCTAACATAAACTCTCATTTCTCAAATATTTGATACTAGCTTGTCATTGCTGAACAAAATGTGATTCCAATAGCTAGTCGCATTTTGCTTGTTAGATTGCTAATTTCTACTTGAATCATCTCTTTCTCTCTTCTATTTTGATAAGTCTTAAATTCTCATTCAACTCATTTTTTCAATGTTTCTTCTTTTATTTGTTGGTTTTGAACTTATTATACACTTGTGAGTTGCGATTTGGATTTAAAAAAAAAATTGTTTGTGCCCCTAAGTGATTAATGAATTTGTTTGTGATTTAGAAAGAACGAAAGATAAAGCGTATTGATTGCCTGAAAATGTTAAAATTCAAAGCAAAGCAAATGAAGTATGTCCAAAAGTCTAACTATTACTACTACATTCCACCTTCTTAAAGTCCTTAGAGAATAAAATTTGTCAATTTCCAATAAACCCGAACTCTATCATTCTTTGTATATTTAAATATATCATGTTCAGTCTTTATTTTTCACCTCACTGATATGATGAAAGGATTTTTAACCAAACTATTACATTAGAATGTGACTTTATCTTTACTAACCGTTATATGACAATATGAAAGAAGGTAAACAAGAAAAGGTAAATAAAAATGAAGAAAAATATATTCTTTTAGTAACCGATTTTGAAACTAATTTATGAACAATGCTGCAAGTAAATGGATTTCAATAGAATTTTGAAAGGAAAAACACTTGGCGGATTTGCATTGGAAGGGAAAAAAAAACAAAAAAAAAAGGCCAACAGGGTGCTGACGTGTTTTTTCTGTTGAAATTCCTTGTACTTACAGCTTTATTCATAATTTATTCATTGGTTTCGTGAAAAAGATGAATGTAATTTAACATTATTAGTCATCATTTAAACTTATATGTTAACTTATTTATTAAGTTCATTATTGTTGGCCGATAATTTTATAAGTCCACAACACACGTCCTTACCAATTATCTAATCTAAATTAAAATTAATTTCAAATCATATGAAAAATAAAATATTTATTTTCAACAATCCAAATCATAATTCAACAAAACTACGGTAGCAAACCACACCCACAACTTCAGAAGCCCTAACATAAACTCTCATTTCTCAAACATTTGATACTTGCTTGTCATTGCTGAACAACTGCTATTCCAAATCGCTAGTCGCATTTTGTTTGTTAGACTGCTAATTTCTGCCTGAATTATCTCTTCCTCTCTTCTTTTTTGATAAGTCTTAAATTCTCATTCAACTCATTTTTTCAATGTTTTTTCTTTTATTTGTTGTTTTTGAACTTATTATACACTTATGAGTTGTGATTTGGATTAAAAAAAGATTATTGTTTGTGCCCCTAAGTGATTAATGAATTTGTTTGTAATTTAGAAAGAACGAAAGATAAAGCGTATTGATTGTCTGAAAATGTTAAAGTTCAAAGCAGAGTAAATGAAGTATGTCCAAAACTCTAACTAGTAGTACCACATTCTACTTTCTTAAAGTCGTTAGAGAATAAAATTTGTCAATTTCCAATAAACCCGAACTCTATCATTCTTTATATGTTTAAATATATTATGTTCAGTCCTTATTTTTCATCTAACTGGTACGATGAAAGGATTTTTAACCAAATTATTACATTAGAATGTGACTCTATCTTTATCAATCGTTATATGACAATATGAAAGAAGGTAAACGAGAAAATTAAATAAAAAGAAAGAAAAATATATTCGTTCTATTAACATATTTTAGCGACCGGTTTTGAAAATAATTTATGAACAATGCCGCAAGTAAATGGATTTCAATAGAATTTTGACAGAAAAACACTTGGCGGATTTGCATTGGAAGGAAAAAAAAAAAAAAAAGGCCAACCAGCAACCCGTTTTTTCTGTTGAAATTCCTTGTACTTACAGCTTTATTCCTAATTTATTCATTGGTTTCGTGAAAAAGATGAATGTAATGTAACATTATTAGTCATCGTTTAAACTTATATGTTAACTTATTTTAAATATATTATTATAATGTCGATATGTAAACCGTGGATTAAAACCGAACAAACCCTCAAATTATGGTTCGGTTTGGTTTGAAAAAAATTCAAACTGCATTAAATGGTTTGAGTTGAAAATATGGCATAAACCGTCCAAATCGAATCGCGTTCACCCCTAGAGAGAAACAAGAAAACTTGGGAATGTACGAAAATATTACTACATTTTCCACTAAATATGAACGAGTGCAAATCTTCAGTAATAATAAAAGGAATAGTTCATTCATTTTTGTATAAGAATAAAATCACATATACAAGAGTATTCTAAAAAAGAGTTTTTTTCTAAATTTGTAAGCTTTTACGAGTCTCTGACTAATAAATAAAATATTGCCAAAAGCAACTTCAATTTTGGGGGCGCCCTCGAGAAATTAACAAATGTTGGACTTTTTCAACAAGTTTGACCAAATAAATTGGGATCCGGTCAACTCCCGTGGTTTGAATTATCCCTTTCACCCGCATCCAAAAGATCCATAGAAGACTTTCTACCACTTTTCCTTAAAAATCCATACAAATTCTTCAACTCTTTCATGGGTTGAACCGACCCGTTTTGACTTTCCTTCCCGGACTCATACGATTCCTCCATCTCTCGACCCGACCCGCTTCCGCTCAGCTTCCTTGTGACCCGACTCGCTACGTTGCTCTGCAAAGCAGAAATAACGGTTTTCAGAGCCCGGGTCGGTGAGCTCCGGTTCGATATCATGATTTCACCGATCTCGGCCGGACTCAAACTCGCTCCGATTTGAAAATTTTCTTCAACCTGAGGGAATAGTTTGTGATCTTTCAACCCTAAATGACTACTGGCTAAAGTTTTGAATGCAGAAAAATCGCAGAGAGGAAAATGTATATGAACGTCGATTCTTCCAGGCCGGAGAATATTTTGATCGATGTTTTCTTTACTTGTGAAAACCATAATCCGTTCTTCTGAAGAAATTCCATCCATGAAGTTTAGAATCCCTGATAAGCTCACAGCCGTTGACGTTTTGCCCAAATATTGATCCAGATCTTCGATTACGATCAATGAATTGTTTGAAGTTTGTAGCAAGAGATTCTTCAGATTCGAATAGTTTGCGATTTTATTCAAATCAATTTCATAAATATCGTAGGACAAAAACTTCGCCATTGCAGCTATAAAAGTGGATTTTCCGGTACCAGAGGGTCCGTATAACAAATAGCTTCTCTTCCAGACCCGACCCAACCGATGATAATACTGCTTGGACTTCAAAAAGGTTTCCATGTCGGATTTGATTTTGGTTTTGAGATCTGCGTCCATTACAACTGTCTCCATTGTTGCCGGATGAGTGAATGGAACTGATCTCCACCGTTCATTTCTCTGCAGTTCGGTCTCTGCGTTCACGAACAATCTCACCTCCTTTTTCTTCTGCTCAATCTCATCAAACACTGTGTGAATATGCTGCATATATGGAACCAAAATTCTACGCTTGTCTTTCTTCCTGATCTTCAGAATTAGCGATTGTAAGCCAGTTTTTGAGCACTTTTCGTTCGTCCAGTAAACCCTAGCACCGAGGAATTTGTCGACAATAACTTGATTCTCGTCCAGAATTATATTGATTTCTGTAGATTTATTACCTGAAAAGAGGTTGGCGAAATCGGAATCTTCAACACACGGCAATGAATTCAGGTATGTATATACTTGTCTGTGAAGTTGATTCTCCTGCATATTTTCATTGAATTTTGGCACTTTGTAAAACTGATACACGTAGCACTTATCTTCCAAACTTCGCCACCATTTCTTCAAAGAGTGGATTAAACAGGTTCTTGATATGAATCTGAAAATTGTAAACAATATCGCAATTGCGTACAATATTAGAGCCGGATTTGAGAGTAACACAGTAGCTTGTGAAGTCATTCTTGATGGAATAAACTAGAAAATTAAAGGTGTAGAGATCGATTCAACTGATTATTCAGATGTACAGGATAATTGTGATGTTTTTAGGAAGAATTATGGTTCATATATATATATATATATATATATATATATAGAATTTTGGAAAATTATAGGATGTTTTAATTGGTCAAATTTAGGATGCAAGAGAAACATGTGTGTATACTTGGGAGAATTTTCGTAAACAACTAATGTAGAAATGTCTACATTATTAGGCATGTGATCATAAAATATTGGTATGAACAAATTAGACTGCCATTAAGGAAAGAATAGAATTTGTCAGTCATAGACTGCCTGCTAGGAATTCAATTTTATTAACCTGTTTTGAATTTTAGAGGAAGGCGTCATGTCCCAACCATGTGGTAGACAGAGAGCTCGCCATATTGGAACAACAATAGATTCAACCTTTATTCGAAAAAATTCAGTAAGCATTGTTTGTTACGTATAATCTCTACTCGATAACTCTAGTAAGATCGTTTGATTAACCATTTGATTATTTTCTAAATGCAATTGAAACAAAATAATTGATGGGTTTAATCGTTCAAAGTAAATCCTTAAATTCTCCACATTGCTTCTAGAGGAGAAATCCATCGAGCAGACTTAGGCTCTGTTTGATTGCAACGAATTTTATGGAAAATATCGTATTCGAGGAAAACGAATTCCGTTTTGACCGTTTGATTGCAACGTGAAAATGTAAATCGAATTTCAAGGTACAACCACTTTAAGTTGCATTTTCTTTGTTTTCATGGAAAACGAATTCCTATAGGTTTGGTGGGTTTTTATTTTCCAACTAATATGGAATTAAAATTTATTTCCACATTTGCCTATCAAACGGACCTTTAAATCCTTTGATCTCATCAACATTTTCATGGGTATTTATGGGAAACTTATTCGATCATATCCTCTGAAAACATATTTATACAAATATTTTACAACTTCTATAGTTGAGCAAATTTCTACATTAATGCAACAATCAAATTTCGGTTGTAAGGAAAACCAACTTATTATCCAACCAGGGTCCTCTAACTTTAACCTTTATTATTATCGGGGGTGATGTCTATATTTAGGGTAAGAATTTTCTCCAAATGAGGCTTCGGGTTTATATTCTTTTTGGGAAATGATTATTACATAATCCATTCTTTTGCATGCAAAAGTTATTGGGATTCAATTCACCACATGGATCATGCATCATGTGTTTAATAACAACACGATATAAATGATGGTACTTTTAAAAGAGTATTAAGAAAAACAAAAAAGTGAGCATGCGGAAGTGAGTTGATATAGGCAAATATTAGTAAAAAGTGAGCATACTTTTGAATTGATTATCACAAAGGATTCCAACCCTTGCTTACATAGGCAAAGAAACACTTTACTCCTTGTCGTGTAAGGAAATAAGGATCATGCTACATATATCGAATTTTTTTACTTAATCTCTCACCGACTACTCACAATAAGGGGGTGGAGACCATATCTTGGGATTTTTTTATTCACGCAGAGCCTGCTTGCAGTGAGAAGGGGTAAACAATTCGATACATTAAATTATGTATAAATATCTTTACCCAGGAAACAATATCGAAAAAGGAAAGAAAACTAAAAACATAAAATAAGTAGAATATTAAAACACCCAAAAGAATTAAAAGGAAAGAAAAATCCTAATTTAAACAATGAACAAAATCTTACTACACGATTATCACACCCTATCAGAGCTACAATCTTTTGCAGTTTAATGTGGGTCTAGGTGTTCAGGTAATATATAAATGGATGACAGGAGTCGGGATCTGTTGATAGTTGAATCTCATCGATTTTGCAGCTCAACGGTATTACGTGGAAAACCTCTTTTATTGTAGGTTATGGAAAAAAAGTTGCAAAATACTTATAAATTTTTTAAATAGATAAAAATACGGACTAGTTAATCACATTCTAACTAGTCATTCAATCAAATCCATCGAACATCTCAATGTTTTAAGTTCTTAAATCCAATCTCATGAAGTTACCTTTCAGTGATCTATGTCATAATGGCCCACATTAATAGATCTTTGATTTGGTAAAAAAAAAAAAACTAATAATAATAATAATAATAATAATAATCAAGAAGAAGAAGAAAGAATATGTGATTTACAATCCTTTTTGGGCCCTTTATGGTAGCATCTAGGCAGGTTTGATTAGAAAAGTCAAATATGTATATAACTAATCAGGACCGTTAAGGCATTATGGAAGCAAATTTTCTTTCCACCTTATTTTTTATTGCTCCTTTTTTGAATTCTTGAGACAAACTGCATATTTAGTCAATAATTCAACATAAATTGTTTTGTTCTTTTTCTTGTAATAATTTGACATTGTCTCTATGGGACCACTGACCTAATATCCTCTTCTTTATTATATACTATGCATCATTTTTCTTTGTTTGGGATAAAAGCTTTTGTATAGAGTGATAATAAAGTCCCTTTAAGGTTAGTCACAAGTCTTACAGTCAAATTTGAGATTTTCAAACTTAAATCATACCATAAAAGTTAAGCCCTTAAATTGTAATGTAAATGTATAAATCAATAGCCAACTATAGAATGGCTCGTGAACTGCATAGTTGTGTCCCCTTTTGTGCCACTCTTTTATCTGCACACGGCATAACACTTCAATTATCGCATGATTCACATTCATGGATCGGATAAGGTTTCAAGAGATCCGATTTAGCTGATTCAAGTGATATGTGAGTTGGCATCAAAACATGGTTCGTAAGAGACTTTATTACCTATCGATAATGTTAGTGTTAAAGGGAGAAGTTTCATTTATCAGTATTTGAAAAAAAATAGCTCAAAGAAATCAATAATTCCTAAATAAATCTTGAAATTTTTTACCATAAGAAAGAAGAATCAATTAGACAGAGGCAGCTGAATAAGGAAAATTACAAAATGGCAATAAGAGGACATGCATCACTATTTAAGGGAAAAGTGCAACAAAGGTTTCAAACCTTTCAATAATGTGCACTTACGTTCCAAATCTTCTAACTTTGACATCTACATTCCAACATTTCAATAAATATACGATGAAAGAACCTCGGGATAATTTCCATTAAAAATCTGTAAGTTGATAAAAAAAATTCGGCATTTGACCATTTTTAAGAAGGGCAAAATGATCTCTCCAGACTTTAGAGGTAAACTACGAAGATAATTTTATGTTTCTCTTTAAAGTTAGAAAACATAGTGCAACAAAGCTGTTAATAATTGTAAAGATGGCACAATGATGCTATTAACCTTGCTGGCTGGAATTGTTGACCAGTTGACTGATTTATTGGTTTGATTATGGTGCAAAGTCGTGTTTTAAATTGGAAAGCCCTGTTTCTACCTAAGATGAATGGATGCTCCAAATGTCGCCCAAGTGTCAGCCCCCATAACTGTTGGATGGAGACTTTTGGGTGACTCATTTAAATACCATTCTAGGGTTGGAACTATGCAACTCTGATTTTTCTCTCCTCTTTGCGTCGTTCGAGTTTTTACCTCACCTTCTCTCTACAAATCAAAACTCTCTTTTGATTTTTTACATTTTCAAGTATTGTAATCTTGAGTGATTTATATTTGATTAGAGTATTGTGTTCTTGTGTGAACAATTGATTGTTGAGTGAAGGATGAGATACTGTGATCGTTAGTGGTTACTGTCTGAATGTCTAAATCTGGTCATTCTTACCTTGGTAGTGTTCCATTCGAATGGTAGTTGTTTATAGGGCTGTTCGTGGGTCGGTTCGGTTCGGTTCTGAAGATACCCGAACCGACCTAAAACTTTCGGGTATTTAATAAATGGACCCGTCGGGTCCAAATATAATTATGGAACTGTTCGGGTTCGGTTCCGNAATCTGTAAGTTGATAAAAAAAATTCGGCATTTGACCATTTTTAAGAAGGGCAAAATGATCTCTCCAGACTTTAGAGGTAAACTACGAAGAATTAAAATACAAAGAGAAATTTCAACGAAAAAATAGTGCAACAAAGCTGTTAATAATTGTAAAGATGGCACAATGATGCTATTAACCTTGTTGACTCGAATTGTTGACCAGTTGACTGATTTATTGGTTTGATTATGGTGCAAAGTCGTGTTTTAAATTGGAAAGCCCTGTTTCTACCTAAAATGAATGGATGCTCCAGATGTCGCCAAGTGTCAGCCCCCATAACTGTTGGATGGAGACTTTTGGGTGACTCATTTAAATACCATTCTAGGGTTGGAACTGTGCAACTCTGATTTTTCTCTCCTCTTTGCGTCGTTCGAGTTTTTACCTCACCTTCTCTCTACAAATCAAAACTCTCTTTTGATTTGTTACATTCTCAAATATTGTAATTTTGAGTGATTTCTATTTGATTAGAGTATTGTGTTCTTTAGTGAACGATTGATTGTTGAGTGAAGGATGAGATACTGTGATCGTTAGTGGTTACTGTTTGAATGTCTAAATCTGGTCATTCTTACCTTGGTAGTGTTCCATTTGAATGGTAGTTGTTTCAGTGATTGAAGCACTGGTGTATTTTGGGTTATTGCCTTAGGGCAACGTTTAATGAAGTTTCTCTTTTCTTTATTGTCTTTGTTCGTTCTATTCGTGCATATTTTGTTGATATTGAGCTAATCTTGTTGAACCTCCTCCTAGCAATAATTAGTATGTATCAGTTTCCAGTAAAATTACAACGTGAACCCCTATTAGCAGCTCAAAGAAAAAGCTAAATAACATAGGCCCAACTACGAAATTTCTTTAAAAAAACTGGAAATTGGAATAGTTCTAGTAAGAAAAACTGAGAACCAGTCTCTCTCTCTCTCTTTTTTTTCTCAATAGAATTGTCTCGATCTAGACAGTTTGATTCGGTTCCCGTTCGACTCTACAAGTTTGACATTTTTGCCCAAACCCTATATGAATCAAGAAACGAAATAACTTTCTGGTCTAGAAATAAGCAACTCTTTCTTACTGAAAAGTAAAAATAAAGTAACTTATGTTTTGAGATTAGATCTTGGGGCAGGAAACAGGTTTACCCTTCTTTGAGACAAAACATCGAGACTCATTAAGACGGCATCCGCCAACGTTCTTGCCCTTCCTGCTTGAACATCTGCCTTGCTGAAATCACGTAGGCCACTGACAAAGCTGCTCACCCTTTGGTCGGGTAGAAGATGACCAACCTTTCCCAATAATTTTTCGAACTGCTAATGATACTTGTTTGATAAACTAACTACAAAGCATAAATTAGATTCGAAAATCTAACATTTTAGTGAGCATAAAACCGGACAAAATTTCAAACTTGACCCAGAAACAGATTTAGAAGGAAAACAACGTAGAGATATTGAAGTGGTCGAGGCAAGAGTTCAACTACTTCTCCTTAATACGATAATACCTCGCACTAGTACTAACAGTTCTCCATCACTTTCTCCATAAATACAACTTTTGGCCTTGTAATAGTAGCACTCCAAATTTCAAGACCAAGGAACCTAATAATTTTCTTGGCTGGCTCAATGTCATTTGTCGACTCTATATAGTCTTCTACAACTACATTCAACTTTTAATAGTGAAGGCTAAAGTCCAACGAAGAGATTGAAGGTTGCTGAATTAGAATCATCAACAAGGATCTCTGCTTCTGGTTTATCGGTTTTTTCTACAGTAGGATTCCTAAGCTAAAATCATCAGTGGCATCATCTAAGAAAATTCCATTAGCAAAACAAAAGATAGATACTAAATGTGTGGACAAAAAGTGAGTTATGAAAGTATATAAACAGTTTTTAAACATAGGCTTAACTAACCTTACTTTACTGTAAAATTGCTTATCGTTAAGAAATGAAATTAACTTGTTTGAATCAAAATAAGTACTAAGCAGAGATTGAACTATTAGGAATAAAAACTTAATTTGAGTTACAAAAATCTTGCTATACATATCATCCAAAAATGATGTATAGTTCTCCTGTTGGAGGAAATAAATGTAAGAAAATAAAATTACATATCCTAATTAACACTAACATCTATTGAAAAAAAAAACTCCTATAGCTCGTCATTTTCATCGTTGTAGTCGTCTGAATTGCCACCCGGGGCACCACCTGATCTTTGATAGACGGCTGCGATAATTGGATTGCATACATCCTCGACTTCTTTCATCTTTTCCTTGTAATCCTCCTTCTCGGCGTTCTGATTGTCTTCCATCCATTCAAGGGCCTCCTTAATTGCTGCCTCGATCTTCTCCTTCTCGTCCAACTCCAGTTTGTCAACGAGCTTGTCCTCATCGTTGATTTGGCTTTTCATGTTGTAAATGTACGTCTCAAGGCTGTTGTGGGCATCAATTCTTTCTTTGACTTTCTTGTCTTCCTCGGCAAATTCCTCAGCCTCCTTGACCATCCGATCAATCTCTTCCTGACTCAAGCGACCTTTGTCATTTGTGATTGTGATCTTCTCGAATCGTTTAGAAGCCTTGTCTTCAGCCTTGACGTTCAGAATGCCATCAACGTCGATTTCAAATGTAACTTCAATCTGAGGAATTCCTCTGTTCAAAAAAAAAAAAAAGATCGATTTAGTAACGCAAATAAAGTTGAGCTTTATTAGAAATATAGGAAGGAGCATGGTCACGTAACAACCTTTTGGCCGGAGCTATTCCTGTTAGATCAACAGTCCCTAGCAGCCTGCAGTCCTTTGTAAGACTTCGTTCGCCCTCAAACACCTGTTCGACAGCATTAATACACGTTACAGTGATTTCTTACACTGGCAAGATGAAGCATTCACTTTTCTTTTCAACTTTCAAGAGTTGAGATTCCAAGATGAATACCTTAATGGAAACAGCAGTTTGTTGATCCTCGTAAGTGGTGAAAACCTGGGACTTTTTGGTTGGAATTACGTTGTTTCTAGGGATCAATTTGGTCATGACACCGCCAATGGTTTCAATACCAAGGGTAAGTGGGGTCACATCCAAAAGAAGAACACCTGATAACATAATACACTAATTAGTCACAAAAATTTCAACCCCAAAAACTAATAAGCAATTGATGAAAAGAGAGATACCGTCGATCTTGTCGCCTCCCTCACCGCTCAAGATTCCTCCTTGTACAGCAGCACCATAAGCAACTGCCTCGTCGGGGTTAACGCCCTTGTTCGGTTCCTTCCCATCAAAATAATCCTTCAGAAGCTGTTGAACCTTCGGAATTCTAGTGCTTCCACCAACAAGAACAATTTCATCAATCTGGTGCTTTTCCAAACCGGCATCTTTCATGGCTTTCTTAACAGGTCCCATTGTCTTTCGGAACAAATCATTGTTCAATTCTTCGAAACGAGCTCTGGTAAGTGGTTCAGAGAAATCTATGCCGTCAAAGAGAGACTCAATCTCTAGTCGAACCTGGTGCTGATTGCTTAAAGCTCTCTTGGCGCGCTCACATTCTCTCCTCAACTTGCCAAGTGCTCTGTTGTCCTTGCTAATGTCCTTCTCGTGCTTCTTCTTGATCAACTTAATAAAGTGATCCATGATCCTATGATCGAAATCCTCACCTGAAAGAACAATTTATCAGCTTATAACCTCAGACGAGCGGTATGATAAAACTCAAATTACAACATACCTCCCAAATGTGTGTCTCCATTTGTTGCAAGAACCTCAAAAACGCCATTATCAATGGTCAAGATACTAACATCAAATGTCCCACCACCGAGGTCAAAAACGAGAATGTTCTTCTCACCACCTTTCTTGTCCAAACCATACGCAATGGCTGCCGCAGTTGGTTCATTGATAATTCTTGCTACATTCAATCCAGCAATGACGCCAGCATCTTTAGTGGCCTGCCTCTGTGCATCGTTGAAGTAAGCTGTACATGACAAAAGACAGTTATAAAGCCAACGACGTCAATTATACTCGAATAAACTTTTGATTTAGAAGTTTACCTGGAACGGTAACAACTGCATCCTTAATTTTCTTTCCGATGTAAGATTCAGCTGTTTCCTTCATCTTTGTTAGAACCATGGCACTAATCTCCTCGGGACTGAAAACCTTTGTCTCACCATCTTTAATTTGGAGCTCTATGTACGGTTTTCCATCTTTGTTCACGATCTTGTATGGTACCAGCTTCATGTCATTCTTGACCTCATTATCTTCAAACCTATACAGTAGTAGCAAGAATTATATAATCCTGATAATTATAAACGATAGCGCGACTTCAAAAAATGAAAGAAGCTAGTCCTTACTTTCGTCCAATTAGTCTCTTGACGTCGAAGATAGTCCTCTCTGGATTAGCTGCTGCCTGATTCTTTGCAGCTTCACCGATCAATCTCTCACTGTCTGTAAAGGCAACCCATGAAGGGGTTATTCGGTTTCCTTGATCGTTCGCTATGATTTCAACTTTTCCATCTTTGAACACACCAACACATGAATACGTCGTTCCCAGGTCTATCCCAATAACCGTTCCCAGTTCTCGAGACTCCTCTTTCGCGAGGGAAAGTGAAAATAAGCTTCCTGTTCTCAAACAAATTAATAACAGTTACTTGACAGGGAAAATAAAATCATTATGATTCAACTGAAAACTTGGCATTCGCATTGGACTTACCGAGTAAGAAGATGCCGAAAAAAATTGATACGTATCTTTTCCATGAACTCGCCATTATAGGAAAACAGAAATTTCAAGAAACTGCCAACAGGATTACTAGATTGCAAGAGTGTTTATGTATAACCTGCCATCTAGGGGATAGGTTATTATATATATAGAGGTGAATAATCGTTTTCTTTGTTCTAACGTAACTAGGAGTTTGAAACTTAGAATTTGAATCTAATAACGTTATTAATCGTGTCTTGTTCCAGCATAACTTGGAATTCGAAGTTTGTTAGGCCATGTTGTTCTTGTTCTAGGATATCTAGGACTTCTAAGTTTGTTGGGCCGCGTGATGATGTGTAGGTATAGCTCGTTTTGTAAATTAAAATCAGATTTATATTAAGGGAAAATTTCATAACTAAGAGATTAAGTTTCACCAATTTCAAATTCAAGAGATCAAGTTTAAAATTTCAAATTTCAAATTTTTTAAATTTTATTTATAAATAAATAAATTAAATATATATTTTATTAATTAAATATATTAATGTCACAATTCTATATAATTTGGTTACAAATTCTATATAATTGGTCACATATTATTAATTTGTCACAAATCACAAATGTTACATATCACAAATTATTTTATGGTATCAATTCAAAAATTTTATAGGTCATAATTTGTTCATCGGTCACATATGAAAAATTGAAACATCACAAATTATTTTACGGTCACAATTTGTTCATCGGTCACGGATCAGGAATTTTATAAGTCACAAATTAGAAATTTTATAGGTCACAAATTATTTTACGGTCACAATTCAGAAATTTTATAAGTCACAATTTGTTCATCGATCACAAATAAAAAAATTATACATCACAATTTGTTTAGTGGTCACAAATTACAAATATTATAAGTTACAACTTAGCAGACAGTCACAAATTGTCAAATTATCGGTCACAAATTAATAATTTTTTATGTCACACATTATTTTTTTATCACAATTTATCTTTTTCATTGGTCACATATTGTTTAATGGTGACAGATTAACCAATTTAATTGTCACAAACGACCAAATAATCTGTGACCACAACTAACCACCAACTTTTGACCACCACCTTACCACTCCCTCCAGTAGCACCATTGCCACCGTCGCTACCATCACCACCAGCTCCCGACAGCAACACCACCTCAAACACCACCACATCCTCACATCGATCCACCACCACCTCAATGGCCCATCGCCACTAACATCTCAACTTCACCACCACCAACACCAAGATCCACCACCACTGCCACCAACAAAACCACTACACACAACCACAGAACAACCACCGTCTCATTTCACAAATCTACTTCACTTCTCGCAGATCTCACAGACCACCACCACCATATGAACTTTCCCGACGCTGCCAATCGCACCTCCAATCAGCTTCCAATCCCACCATAGATCCACCACCACGTTCAAAACATACCACCATCGTACACTGCACCTCAAACAAATCAACACCATCGCCAACGTTGCCACCAGAACCACTACCACCATCTCAAACAAATCAGCACATGGCAGAACGTCATGCCAGATCCACCATTACCACCACCTCACCTTCACAACACAGCTACCAAATTAGGACGTAGAGCACATATACACCATCACTACGGCCAAATCCTTCACCACCAACTCTAGATCCACCATTAGCAGCGCCCGATCCACCACCGCCACTAAAACCACCCAAACATCACCACACCATGGAAACCACCACCACCAACAAACAAAAATAACCAAATCTAGCGTGGCTGCCATCCTTCAAGCCCAAAATATCTCAAAACCACGACGGCACAATGTCGCTGCGAGGGCGGTGATTCTGATCGGTGACCTTCGCGCAGTGGCATAGCCCCTTCTGGTATCTCGTGAGGTGGCAGTGGCATAAATCCCACTAACATGCATTTACACTAATTAGTCAGCTGATTAAATTATTTAACACTTTTCACTGTCCTTTTTGTTTTGAAAAATAATAAATGTCCATTATGATTCTAAAAGGTGACACCGTGACATAATTGAAATTTTCATTAATTAAGCTCATGTTTGAGCCGCATTCTTATTTTCATTCTTATTCTTCTACTTATTTTTAACCGCACATTTTTTAATAAAATAATATTTTCCATCATATCAATAAATTTTCCTTTCATTCTTTTCATTTTAATGTACATCAAACACACTCTAAGAGACAATAAGATCCCTAATTTAAGCCATTAAAGTTAATTAACTAGTACAACAGACTATAGGTACATGAAAAAACAACAGAAAATTAACAAAAATTACACTTGGAAGGTTTTCATTGAAAGGGAAAAAAAGAACTGTGCTATAGGTACTGGAATTTGAATTCCTATACTAGACATAATACATACAGTAGTGGATGGGGTGGGGGGTTTGCCAATATTTTAATTACATGGGGCTGGGCCTCATGTAAGTGAAATTTAAAATTTTGTATCAATTATGTGCATTATTCCCTGTACTCACAGCATTA